AAAGAAAGAAAGAAAGAAAGAAAGAAAGAAAGAAAGAAAGAAAGAAAGAAAGCTAAAAGTGTGATAAGAGAAAAAGTAGAAGGAAGTAGAAAAAAGATGTAAAGAAGAAATAATAATAATAATAATAATAATAATAATAATAATAGTAATAATAATAGACTTTCAGAGATTTGCATTGGTTTAGTGGCTGGCAGAAATCTAACCAGTCCCGTTTTCCCCTTCTTTGTTCATTTTTTTTAAAGCCGAAGAAAGGCATTGTTTTGCCAGGGGAAAGGGAGAGGTCGGAATATAGAGTGTGATCTTAGTATCTAGGGACGGTCAAGAGTGGAATTTTTAAAAAAGAAAAAGAGAGACCGTGCCATTCCCAGGACTAGCACCATCTCTGCTTCGATTCCTCTGGGCAGAACCAACAGGATGCAGGAGGCAGGTGGGGAGGCTGTTGCTAAGCAACGAAGGAAGCCAGGGACCAAGGAGGTGATGCAAAGATGCTGGTGCACCGAGTTTGTGCTGGGAGGGAAAAGAAATGAAAAGTTCTCGTTTCTTCCAGAGTGAGCCTGCCAGCTTCTTGGCTTTCAAGTGGGGAGATGGGGCTGTGGTCTTGCATGTCAAATCAAAGGTGACTTCATGTAGGGTATAAAAATGCAGCGAGGGTGATCGGGCAGGGTGGTGGAGATGGGAAGAGACCGAGGGAGAGATTGGTCCAATCGCGCGTGGGCCTGTCCAGCACCAGAGATGAGAGAGGGTTAAACCTGGTTGGCTTGCCCCACTAAGTGTGGCGTGCTTAGGCTTGGCGAAGGAAGAAACGTTTGCTCCAAAACGCAAGCCACAGTTGGCAAACCAGGATGGGTTTGTAGGGCCGGCTGTTCTAAGTTCATATAAGCATTATTATGGCCTAGGAGTTGGGGCTCATTTGCAAAAAATATGTATATATATTTCCAGCTCTCAGGCTGGGAATGGCAATTCTGCCTCCCTTTCCAGATCTGGGGGCGCCTTTGGGTTAAGATTAAGGGGGTTGCCCCAGTTTTATGAAATCACTGCTCATTGAAGTTTAATGGATTTGCCTAGAGTTTGGGGGCACTTTGAAAATGAAACCCCAGCGATCGATCGCACTGTGGAAAGTTTTCCTAATCTGGGATCCTCCCAATGTCCTGAACTCCGATGTCCATTGTTCCCAGCTCATTAGGACACAAGTAGATCCAAAAGGCTTTTTTGAAAGCAAACTTTATTTTGTTGGGGGGGAAGCAATTGCTATTCTCCTTGCTGTAGAGACCCCCGATTCAGAAGCTATGCACCAGCAAGGCAATAGGGCAGTGTTTCTCAACCTTGGCAACTTTAAGATGGGTGGACTTCAACTCCCAG